CATTCTCGAAACCCATGCAAAAAGTAACGTCAAACAATGTGGACAATCCCAAATTCCTGCAAATAAAAACAAGAACCTTCCCGACAAGTGAAATGATGTCATCGAAAATCAACTACAAATAAAAACTAAATAAAACTAATAACGAATAATCAAATAAACTAAATTAATGACAAGCCGTTCCCCGGCAACGGCGCTAAAAACTTGATGTGCACAAAAGTACCCACTAATTTTAATATTTATAACCTAACAAACTTAGACTAACTATGCACTTATAGGCAGTGTACCTAGTCAGATTACAGTATAGCTTAGGTAAGTCGGGTGTCGATCACAGGGAACGGTGGATTAATTTAATATATTTGATTATAGGTTACAGGTCACACGAAAAGAATAAAAGAAATAGTTTAATAAATCTCAAACTAATAATTAATTAACCATTCTCGATAAACTAACAGGACAACAAATCTCTTCGGGTACTTTGGTTTAGACAAATTCCACTTTGAAAACATAGACAATTGCATACACAAATTCATTTATTCATGTTCACCGATTCCTAAAATGATTAGATTCGCGTTCACTATAACTAATCCTTTAGCAAACAAGTCAATTCAAACAGTGATCAATTGGTTAAACTAACATGCTTCCTAGTGTTCAGTTCGTATCAAGCAAGACTTGTAAATATAGTTAACCAAATTAAACATTCAATTAACCTCTTGTTGATGGTCATCAAACAAGGCTCACACATTAACTTACTTATTCCCATGTTAATCCTAGTTTCACATTCGTTATTTCTAGACTTATAATCTCGATGGTCATCAAAATCATAAGAGACAAGCAATCAAGCATATGTTCATACAACTCAATTCACTTAACAATTAACAGAAAATAATCATCATTAATACATAAGGATCTTTTAACAAGCTTGGCAAGATAAATTAAACACAAACAAACTATTTAATATAGCAATTAGTCTAATAATCAAAGCTTCATTTAATCATAAACACAAAGTAAAAGGTTTTTACACCCAAGTTAGAAACTAAATACATGTTAGTAACACAATAGAATGCTAAACATGGTCACGTTAACAACCCTTAGGATTACCGACACGTATCCGCTCTCCAACCCTTCCGATCTCCGCTCCCGTTAGCTTAACGGCCTTCCGGCCGCCTTCTAGACCCTCAAAACGGCTTAACAGAAGTTAATTTTCGACTAAATTAGGTTAGAAGTCAAATCCCCCCTCCTGGTTAGCTGAAAATCGACATTTATAGTCTTTGTAGCCGACTTAAGTACGCTGGGCGTACATAGGATTACGCGGGGCGTACACAGGATTACTACGCAATTTGAAGTTATCTGAGGCCACCCAGTACGCGGCGCGTACCCTTTAATTACGCGGGGCGTACGTCTAGTTTAGGCTCTACGCTGGGCGTACTGCGACTTTACGCGGGGCGTAACCCACTTCTTCAGCATATTTAATTCCTTTTAGCTCCTAAGTCCGGTTTCCGCTTCAGTCTTTTCTTTCGTGCTTTATTGACAACAAATAGCAGCAAAACACAATTCAAAGTATTATGAGTACTTTTTAGTTCTAAAATAGAATAAATAAGGCCAAAATATTAAGATAAAGTGCATATATATATATATATATATATATATATATATATATATATATATATATATATATATATATATATAAATACACATATCAAAATACCCCACACTTAGCCTTTGCTTGCCCCCAAGCAAATTTACTTTTATTTTACCAATATTGCACTAAACAATCCATTTAAAACTTAGCCATTATGCCAAGACCTCAACGCATGCATTTGTGTCTAAAATTTTCCTAAAGTACCTCCATACTTTAAATACTCACAATCTTCGTAAACCATGTTCGTGCACACCACCCCACTGCCTCGTGGTGGCTCGTGGTCGTGGCGGTTCGTGTTGGGGACGACGGAGGTAGACGACCAATCAAATCGCTTCTCCTCTCTTCTTCTCTCTACTTCTTCTCTTCTTCTTTCTTGCAAACCACGAGGAAGTGACATCCCGTTAGGTTGAAGAATAGTTGTGGTGGTGACGTGGAGGTGGAAGATGGTGGTGGTCGTGAAGACCATAACGGATGGTCTAATGGGGGAATTTGGAAGACTTTGTAAGTGTAGGTGTTAAGATTTCTAGAAAAACAATAAATAAATTTGGATGCATTTAAAACAAATATGCAACATGCGTATAAAATGTTTAATGCTTAAAATAATTGGTCGTTCAAAAAAAAAAAAAAAACTTAACAATAAAATGTATTTTTTATAGAAAAATAATGATAGGACCAAGGAACCACTAGTGGTGAATATATTTATTTTTAATTTATTCAAAATGATGTTTGATTTTATTATAAAAAAAATATGCAATAATTCATATATAACTTATAAAATCGGTAGAAATATTATGCCATTCAATGTAAAAACCTATTTTATTCAATGATACCATAAGCATATGAAAAGTCTTGTAAAACTCATTTTACATATTATGCTGTTTTTTATTTTATTTTCGCTAACTATCGGCCAAATATTGAAATAACATATTATAAGAAAACACATCAAATTTATATTTGTAAATTCATTAATAAAGTTAAATGTTCTTTTGCAAGTACAAATTCTTTTAACAAATCATGTTTCAATCATTCTAACATGTTGTACATAATAAGTTAGATATTTTGGTTATAGTATAAACTCTCAACTAAGTAACAAATCTATGAAGGTTTATAAATTTACGTTGTATAAATCATAACAAAAAATCATCTTTAACTTTTCATAACAAAATAATAAATCAATGGAGATCACCCACCAACGTGCTAAAACAATATATTTTACGAATAACTTTTATTGCGTGCAATTACAAACATAATAAATAATAACTCATCAATTTCAGAATCGTAGAAGAAAATCATGAGAAAACCCTAGATGAACAATTATGTTCTCCTTAGATGAACAAATGTATTCTCTCATGTGTGGATATATATATATATATATATATATATATATATATATATATATATATATATATATATATATATATATAAAGGTGAAATAATGTTTAATATTCCACATGCCTTGTATTTTTAGATGACCTTGTACCATGAACAAATTAAAAGCCACTAAACAGTTAAGAAACCATATATTCTCTGAACAATTAGGAGGATGATATCAATAATTCAGATTTATTAACACATCCCCTTACACTATTCATTTTGAAAGTTAGGGTATTATTGGTGTTGTAAATAATAAGCAAAAAACTAGTTGACCTAAAAATGTCAAATTTACATGTGAGGGTCCTTATCAATTGGCACCACAATCAAATAGCAAGCGTCAAACATAATGTCTATAGAGTAAGTAAGGACTGTTTGTTCATCTCTTAATGGGTCTGTTAAAAGGTTGCCTGAATCGGCCAAAGTCACATCATTTGGTTAGGTTTTATATAACCTATTATTGGTTGGAGCATCCCTGATCGACTCTAAATCATTCATCGATTCAACATATTTGAATGACTCTAAATCATTCACCAATTTAACATATTTGAATGAGAAAAACCCCAGGTTATGTGTATGCATCTTCCTCCGGTCAAGCTTCAATCCTAATGATACACTCGGGATTGCAGCTTCCCTCCTATCAACACTACCCTTCCTGTCAAAGTCATCTCTTCGACAACACATCCCCTCCCTTTGAAGCCTCGCCTCCCACTAACACCCCTCTGGTTTTGAGATATAAATTAATTATCAATGATGGTGGCAAGCTCAATCTTCATTAGAAATCAAGTGATGGCGTCAAGGAACCATTGATGTAACAATTAACATGTTATATCTATTTAATCTTTCTACATGCTTCCTTATGTTTCATCAAATTCTCATCGAGTTTAAATCAAGTGTTTATCAATATGTTCAACATATTAAGATGGTAGCTAAGCAATGTTGGGTTATTTACAGAAAAGTCTCAATCATTTTTCAAAAGTTTCAATAAAGTTCTAAAAAAAAATTGAACAGAAAGTCCCAATATTTTGAAAAAATCAAATAATCTATCATTTGCTGCTCAGATATAAAAAAGACTTTTTCGTTAATTTAGGCCAAATATCAAAATATTGTGACTTTTCTGTTAAAAAAAAAACTTTTAAAACTTTATTAAAACTTTTGAAATAAGTTTAGGACTTTGCTATAGATAACCCAACAATGTTTGATCCCAAAAGCATAGAATGTTGCTACTGTCTTAAATGTGTAAAGGACCAAGAATCCCAAATAATGTGATGATACATGCATCTTTATTGGAGGTAACACAGAGAATATAGTTGACGTAAAAAATGTTTTTTTTTTTTTTTAACTGAATTTATCCAGTTACATATATGAATGTTTGTATTAAGTATATAAAACTTTTTTTTATCTAAATATGAGTTGCATTTTGATAAGTTGAGTGTATGCACCGAAGGTGTTGATAAGTGTTTTCTTATGGATTTTCAAAGCATTATATTTAAGGGCGGAGCCATCTTAGAACCAGGGTAGGCCCAGACCAACCCTCAAAATTTCAAATTATTATTATTATTATTATTATTATTATTATTATTATTATTATTATTTTATTGCATATAGATATATGAACTTATTTGGGTGCAAATTATTCAATAAACTCATGTAGCTCAGAGGCAAGTCATTATATCTCTATTCTATAGTTTAAGAGTTCGATCCTAATACCATTCAATTCTTATATATATATATATATATATATATATATTATATATATATATATATATATATATATATATTAGATAAAACTTCAAAAATTGTCCCTGTGATTTTCAGAAATATCAAGTTTAGTTCCTAAGTTCAAAAAACCTCACAGATGGTCCGTGTGGTTTCAAAACTTTTAACAAGTGGTCATTCCGGCTCACTCCGTTAGTATTTCACCGTTAACTCATTTTTTAATAAAATATTGCAGGGGTAATTTCGTTATTTCAGTTGTAAGCTTCTCTCTTTAAAAGAAATTGCATGTTCGATTTTTGGGCAAATCCTTTAGCTTCATCAGTCGATCATCTCTCCTCCTTTCCACTGTTGCTCGACCGTTGCACCCTTCACGACATCCAATCGCTTCTAATTCAAAGATGGTGACTTGCAGATGTGGAAATGAAGCAACGAAGATCACTTCATGGATGGATCGTAACCCTGGAAGACAATTTTGGAACTGTAGAAGATGTGGTTTCATTCGATGGTCAGATCCTCCTATGTGTGGTAGGGCTTTGGTGGTGATTCCAGGTTTGATAAGATCAAAGAATCGATTGGAAGATAGGGTCGCCACTGTAACTGCAAAATTGTGGAACTACCAACTAATGTTGTTTTGTTCATGGGTGTTTTTTTTTTGGTATTATTTTAATCTCTAAGTATCTTGTGAAGGTTTGGATGGTAATGGAGTTTTTTTTTAATCGGAGAGGTTTTTTTTTTTGCTTTCAGTTTATGTAGGTGGTTTTAGAATTGATGTTGTTGTATTTGGTTTATGTATTAGATTAATGTGTAATGCAGTGGTAATGATAATGGTAATGGAATGTAGTTTGTTATAGTTCATTGTTCAATTTCTTGAATGTTTTTGAAATGCAATTCTTAAGTGTATTGTAAATGCATCTTGAAGATGGTCTTCATTTGCAATTGAAATGTACAATGTTATTAATTAATTTGTGAAGGGTAGTACACAAAACATATTAATTCATTACCAAAAAGTGCATGAACACCATTACATTCAAAGTTATAAAGTTCTTAACACAACCATGAAGCAAAGTTTTCAAAAGACCTACAACACAAGCATTACATGCAAAGTTTTCAATTTCTTAACACATCTTCAAACAAGTATACATGACATAAGTTTCTAAATACCTACAACACCAGCATCCTAATAACCACTAAGTTTCATCCCCTCCAACTTCACCACTGCCTCCCTGCCCTTTACATGTTCTGGAATTGTACCATTTGTTATGACACTTTGAACAAGTGACTGCCAAATATTTCCTGCTCAATCTACCAGCTTGACTGTTTGGCTCATCAACACCCCTCCTTCTCTTCTTCTTAGGCCTCCAAAGCTACACATGTTGATATACTATAGTTAAAACTGAATTCATTCCATGTTCACATGTATACTATATTTTTGGTTTACTTTAAATACAAACCTGTGTCTTATGTTTTGGTGGAAGTAAAGTGAATGGGCAGTCACTTTTAGGCCACATTGTACGTCCATTTAATGGATCAATTTTGTTGAAATACATGGCTTTCCATGTTGATAACCTATAGCAAAGATGGACCCATTCATCAACATGTGGGGCATTTTCACCATTTTCAATTTTGTCCCATATAGCACAAACAGCATGTCTACATGGGAAACCTGTAATCTCCCAAAACTTACAACTGCAACTTTGATCATTCAAGTTTACCACATATTGGTCTTGCCATGTGCTTGCCACTTGGTACTTCCCTGCCCCATTATATTTAGCCACATACTTTGATGCATCAGCCTTAATCTTTTCAAACAGTGTAGTTGGAGTAGGGGTTAGAAGTCCTTCACACTTATCTATTTCCTTTTGCACCACACATAACCTCTTCATGAGATACTCTCTAATATACTCTAAGCAAGTGATAATAGGTTTATCCCAATACCTTCATCTAGCTTAGAATTGAATACCTCACAAAGGTTATTCAACAAACAATCAGTATGTGCCCTTCCTGAATAATAGATATTAACAGAAGACAATTACACATATAGTAAACACACAACAGGGAAGATTAACATTTCTCAATAAATTTCTAGAAACTTACCACTAAAGTGAGATTTAACCCAAGTTTTGCTGGGATCTTAGACACCAAAAGCATGAGCCTCTGCATTGATCTTCTTCAACTCATCCATTGCTTTGTTAAAATGATTGATTGTTGTTGCTCTACCACACTCCCAAAGCTGGTCACTTAAGTCTTTTCCTTTCCATTGTTTCTTCATGTTTTCCTGGATATGCCTCAAACAGAACCTGTGTTCTGCATTAGGGAATACATTCTCCATTGCTGGTATTATTCCCTAAACAAAAGTCAATGTATGCAACATTAGTTAACCAAATGTATTTAGAAAAGGTAATAAAAAAAGTTAGCTGGTACACACCTTTTGTCTATCTGAAATGAAGGTAAAGTTTGAATTTGGTCCCAGATCCAGATCTTCTCCTAACAGTTCCAAGAACCAGATCCAACTACTTGTTGATTTTATCTCTACCACTGCATATGCTACAGGGTATATGCCATTGTTTGAGTCCAATCCTACAGCAGTTAACACTTGCCCAGGGTAAGGGCCCTTCATGAAAGTACCATCCAGACCTAGAAAATCTCTTAATCCAGATTTGAATCCTAACTTCAATGCACCTAAACAGACATATATTCTTCTAAAAGTTCTTGTGGTAACAGACAGGGAGGTTTCTGGATACACATCAATCCGAACTGTTGTACCAGGATTAGTGTTGAGTAGCTCCAACACATAATCCCTCAAAAACCCATATTGTACTTGGTAGTCCCCACTAATGATACGCTCAACCATTGACTTTGCCCTAGCAACCTTTTGCAATGACATTCCTACCTCTAGTTTCTTGCACAACTCTTCGTGTAAAGCTTTCATTGGAATTTTAGGGTTACTTTGTATTTGTTGAACAATTAAGTTTGCTACGTATCTGGAAGTGCAAGCTTTAACCGCCCTTTTTTTGCAAACATTTATGCTCATCCTGTACTGTTTTCACCAACCAATCCTGATTTTCATTAGCCCTCGATATTTGGACTGCCCATGGACATGTACCTTTATTGGCAATTACATCTTTACCCTTGCACTTTTCCCTACTTCTAGTTGAGGGCACACCACCATCAACTCCTGTAGAAGGCTTACTTACAACACCTTTACATTTCACCCTAATCCGGATTTTGTCATTTTTGGCTAGGTATAAAGACCTCCTTGTTGCTACAACATGTGAGTTTATGTAGTTTTTAACATCAATCTTGGTTTTGAAGACCTAGCCAATCTGAAATGGTTTAACATGAACCTCTCCATGTGAGCATGTACTTGACTTACTCAACTCTTTTAATAGTATCTTCCTATCATCTTCATGAAATCCTGCACATTGATAATCATCAGTGGCAATAACTTCCAACTCATCATCAACCATGTCAATCCCTTCATCTTTTGAATGATTTTTCAAGATTCCATGTTCATCTACATCAACAACATTATGGAATTCACTCATGTCTACATCTACATCAAATTGTATGTTAGACTCATCCACATTGTATTCACTGTCATCAAAATCATCTCCACTATCCTCAGAACCATGGCCACTCTCAGAGTAGAAAGCTTCTCCACTATCATCACTCACCATACCCTCTAGATAATCCACTTCTGGTTGTTTTTCAAATGAAGTTTCAACATTAAACTCAACATCATAATCAACATGAAGTGAGTAATCCTCTACAAATGGTTCATAATCATCAACTGTTTCAGTATTAGCTCCATCATCAGCTTGGCAACTTGGTTCCTGTACATGGTAAGTTCCCAATGGTTCTTCAGTTTCAACTGCACTAGTGATCACTTCTTCTTGAGTTTCAATTTCATGATTCACCACTTCCTTTTGAATGACATGACTTTGTTTGCCTTGTGACCTTATAAATGGTACAATACTCTTTGAGTAATGTTGGCCTTCATCAACATCTAACACTTGTGACTGCTCATAATCAGGGTTCATAGACTTGTTTATATCAAGCTTTCTACTACATGATCCTGCTTCTCTCTTACAAGGTTTATTTCTATTCATTTCAGGTGACACACTATCAGGCTCCAACTCTTCAATAACAACTTTAGAAGGAGACTTGTAATAAGTAGCTACCCTTGTCTGACCAGTTTCAATATACACCATGATAAGTCTGTGTTTAGGGACATATGATACCATTTTAAGTACATCTTGATCATTACCTAAAGGCATTAAGCCATAGTCCAAAGGGTATTCAGGGATACAGAAATGGTAGTAAAGGGTTTGCTCATTTTTGTACCCTAGTTCTCGAACCATGTCGTCAAGCTCATGAACTAAAAATAAATTAGTGTCAACATCATCTACATATGCTACAACACCATCAACGTATTTCCTTCCAGGTGCTTTGGTGAAGACACCACTGTAGTGTATCTTCAACGTGAAATAGTTGTCACAACCTTCTGTAAACACAAAAAAAAGAGTAAAATCAATGATTTCCTTATGTCAACACAATAGACCAAGAAAAAACAAGTTTTGTTGTAGTATTATACCGTATCTTTTTCCTAAGTCCTCAACGGTTACAAATTTTTCTCGAAAACACCATATTGATAGCACCATTGCAATTTCTGCAGCTTAAAACCCTAAATCCCAATTTCTGTTCTTGCTTCTGCGATGGGAATGAACCCGATGACTAAACCTGTAACTGGTTATCTTCTTGGGAGAGGGACGAGTAGTGATGTGCAAGCAAGTAATTATTTCATATTAAAGAGAGAAGGTTACAACTGAAATGACGAAATTACCCCTGCAATATTTTATTAAAAAATGAATTAACGGTGAAATGCTAACGGAGTGAGCCGGAAGGACTATTTGTTAAAAGTTTTGAAACCACAGGGACCATCTGTGAGGTTTTTTGAACTTAGAGACTAAACTTGATATTTCTGGAAACCACAGGGGCCATTTTTGAAGTTTGTCTATATATTAATTCATTTCTAAAGTTACCATTTGGCCCTTTATATTTGGAAGTTAATTTCTATTCGTAAGTAAGTTTTCCAAATTTCCATATTTCACACATCAAATTTTATAAATTTTCATAATTCCATTTTAAGCTAATTTAAATTAGTTTTTAGTTTTTCTTTTTTAGATTTATTTTTATTATATATAGTATAAAATTGTATCTAAGAGGCCATTTTTTGTATCTCTCTCTCTCTCTCTCTCTCTCTATATATATATATATATATATATATATATATATATATATATATATATATATATATATATATATATATATATATATATATATATATATATATATATATATATACCCTAATTTTTTTTTTGACTCCACCCTTGATTATAGTGATACATGTATCTATAAAAGGACAAAAATAAATTAAAACTTGTAAATTGTGTTTAATCTTAGAGAATATATACCCTAATTTTTTTTTTTTTTTGACTCCACTCTTGATTATAGTGATACATGTATCTATTAAAGGACAAAATAAATTAAAACTTGTAAATTGTGTTTAATCTTAGAGAAATAACAATGACCAATACATTAAAACCGAAGTGGAGACTTGGAGGAGAGCTTTGCGGATATTATTGCAAGAAAATTAAAGTAAAGTATAGTTTTTAAAAATCATTGTGTTTTATGGTTTTTGTTATTTTACTTTTATTATGTAACTTGTAGTGAAATTTGAAATAAATAAATAAAAAATAAATAAATAAATAAGCCCAATCAAGTGTTGATTGATCCGGGTCGTAGCACCGCCGCCCACCTCCGCCAATCCCGAGCCTGCCACCACTTTTTCACGCCCTACGCTCCATAAAATTCCCTTCCCCCCTCCAAAGGTCCAACCCCTTTCATTCCCACCTCCGACTTCGCCGTCATCTCCGTCGCTCAAGGCGTCGAATAGATACCAGACGCCGAGACCTGCAATTTCCGTCCACTCTCCGCCTTGTAGAGCTTCTAGGATTTCTGGGACCGGAAATTGGTACCTTGTAAAAAACTGAAATTTCTGCTTCAGTCAACTGGTAAATGCTTCATCGTGTCTTTCTTTTATTTACAAATAATCTGTGGTCTTTTTATTTTTTGTGTGTAAACTTCAAAGCCCCCTTTTTTATTTTTTATTTTTTTATCAGCAGTAATACAAATCTCATGAAATTTGAAGTGAGAGCATAGATGAGAGCGACAACTAAAATCCATACACATAAACACACCAGCTGTGATAGATTTAGATTTTTTTTGGTCATTTTGGTGATTGCTATGAGGTATCATATGATGTTTATTCTGCATTAGTATGAAAAGTAAAGTATTTGAATAAGATGGTTAGGATTTAGGATATGTGACTATGAACCTTTTTTTAATTCTTTTGTCTAACATTATTGATAATGAATGATATATGAGATTGAAAGTTATAAATCTTTAAATCTGATACATGCTTCAAATTTCATGTTTTGGCACCATAATAAAACAATCCGTTTCTATTGTGAATGAAGGTTTTTCAAGACTGAAAGAAATTTGAGGATGGGCAAAGTGGTAAATGCTCAAATCATGTTTTTTTTATTTTCATCTAATTTCTTGTTTTCTTTGAATTCCCATCAAAAAGAACATTTTTTTTTCTTCTGTTATCATCAAGTCCAATACTACACACCATCGGTACCTTAAAGATCAAAATATAAGAGGAAACAAAGTACATGGATAAAAAGAACAATTCTTTTTCTCGTCTTATCATCAAAAAACAAAAGCCATGGATAAAAAGAACAATTCTTTTTCGTGTCTTATCATCAAGATAAAGATAAAATGGATATGTTTTTTCTAGTTTTCTTTGATTGCCATAGATAAAGAGAAAAAGTTATTTTTCTTGTTTTATCTTGGAAGATAACATGAATATGTATTTTCTTGTTAGCTTTTTAACTTTAATTTTCTTTGAATGTAATGGAAATTTAGCTACTTTTTATAAAGAACCCTTCACTTCACTTCCGCCACTAGTGTTCTTCATCGCCAGCCACCCTCCACCACCATGGTAAAACCCTTTTTCTTATTCTTCCTCCTAATCATCTGCCTACTGTCATCCACGCCGGAATCTCGCCGGCCACCTCCGTTTCCCAGAAAACCCTCACGGCTTCTCAAAACCCAAAACAATCTTGTTCAACTGAAGTACACTTACGAGACACGATACTTTGATCAGACTTTTGACCATTTTAGCTTCAATGATCTTCCCAAGTTCCAACAACGGTATCTCATCAACTCCAATCACTGGGTGGGTCCTAATCGTTTGGGCCCGATCTTCCTTTATTGTGGCAACGAAGGCGACATCGAATGGTTCGCTGTCAACACCGGCTTCGTTTGGGAACTCGCCCCTCGTTTCGGTGCCATGGTCGTCTTCCCTGAAGTAAAAGCCCTAATCACTATACACTAATTTATTCATTTGCAGCGCTTCAAGTGCATATTTCAGTCTAGTTACTGATTCAATTTTATCAAAACATGCGTGATTTGATTTAGCATCGATATTATGGTGAATCGATGCCGTATGGGAGCCAGAAAGAGGCATACAAGAACGCTTCTACTTTAGCCTATCTAACAGCCGAACAAGCACTTGCTGATTACGCTGTTCTAATCACCGATTTGAAGAGAAATTTGTCAGCCGAAGCGTCACCTGTAATCTTGTTCGGTGGATCATACGGTGGAAGTAAGATCTTTTCCATCAATTTCAACAAAAATTAAACAATCTCATCAAAAGATTTGATTTTATGCATGTTTTCGGATTATGGTTTTTGTTTGATTGAACAGTGTTGGCAGCATGGATGAGGCTCAAGTATCCTCATATTGCAATCGGCGCACTTGCTTCTTCTGCTCCGATTCTTCAATTTGAGGACATCGTGCCCTTGGATACGTTTTATGATATCGTCTCCAGTGATTTCAAAGTTTGTCAAAATTCTTTATTCCTCATTCATCTTCTTCGCATTTTCTTCAAGTTAACCTTTTTTTTTTTAATATATATATTTATATATTTGTTGTTGTAATCATAAATATAATAGCGAGAAAGCAGAAGCTGTTTTGATACAATAAAGAAATCTTGGAACATAATAAATTCCGTGGGTCAGAAAGCAAATGGTCTTGATCATCTTGCCAAAACTTTCCATTTATGTGGGTAAGAACACAAAGAGCAACCCCTGTTTTCTTTTCTTTTCTTTTCTTTTTTCTCCATTATTATGTATCAGTTGTCTACACATTTTTATAAAATGATGTGTAAAAAAAGTATTCAAGAAAATGAGTGGCATACTGACTTTCTTTGTTAAGTTGTTTGTTTATTGTTTTTATTTGATGAAATGAAGATATAAATAAATATTCAGGAAACTAAATAAAAGTGAGGATCTATCTGATTGGTTGGATTCAGCGTATAGTTATTTGGCAATGGTGGATTATCCATACCCAACAGAATTCCTAATGCCATTGCCTGCTTACCCTATAAAAGAGGTTAGTTGTTATTTTGTGAAATGTGAATTTGAGTTATCAAATTCTTTTGTCACATTCCATAATCATAAGGATTAAGTGTGTGTTTGAAATTTCAAGGTTTGCAAAGAGATAGACAATTCCCCTGATGATGGGAGTGGGAGTAGTAGTGTTTTGGAGCGAATCTTTAAAGGTGTGAGTGTGTATTACAATTACACCGGAAAAGCCGATTGCTTTGAATTGGATGATGATCCTCATGGCATGAATGGTTGGAATTGGCAGGTATGTATGTGATATGTATGTATGTATGTATGTTTGTGTTTGGAAACAAAATGATGACAATTACAATGTTTCTTTCAGGCATGCACGGAAATGGTGATGCCGATGTCTAGTGACAGAGACTCGAGCATGTTTCCGGAATGGGAATATAATTCCACTTCTTATGCCGAGGATTGTTGGAATCAATTCCGGGTCATTCCTAGGCCCACTTGGATTACCACGGAATTCGGTGGACATGTAAGAATAAATTTAAAAAAAAAAAAAAATTCCTTTTGTTATACAGCTAATATATATTTGAAAATGAAATGAGATTGTGGTTTTATAATTTGAATGTGTAGGATTACAAATCTGTGTTGAAAAAATTTGGAAGCAACATCATCTTCTCAAATGGTCTCTTGGATCCTTGGAGCGGTGGCAGGTATAACTTTCAAGACAAATGATTATCATTATCATTTGATTTTCTAATAGTTATTATAAGAAGGTAAGAAGGTCAGCGACTTGAACATTGTGCTCACAAAATAACATTATTTTAATGGATTATTTGAACAAAAACAAATATCTTGTTACCTATTTTTATGATATTTTGTTTAGATGTAAAAAAAGAAAAACAAATAACTAATTTAATTGGTATATGTTTTTGCAGTGTTTTGGAAAACGTGTCAGAGAGCGTAGTTGCTCTTGTGACAGAAAAAGGTATAACCCATGTCATACATTTTGTCTCATAACAAAAAAAAAAAAAAAAAAAAAATTCTTTTTATCTCATCATCCATATTTATTTGATCGTGTATCTTCAGGTGCACATCATTTGGATCTACGTGCAGCCACAGGCGATGATCCTGATTGGTTGGTGAAGCAAAGGGAGTCTGAAGTTGAAATCATTCAGGGTTGGATCCATGATTACTACATGAAAAATAAATCGGTTTTTAACATGTAAAGATTGTTGGGTTTTGTTGGTTGTTATAAATGTTGTATAGGCTTCTAAGGGAAACTTTTGTTCCACGTGTGTATGTATATAACTTGTTGTATTTTTATTAATAAAAGCTCACGTAGTATGGTTCTACATAGGATGCAAATGATTTCTAGAATTATATGTTTGACAATTAATGTATAAGAAAAGTACAAAGAGTGCAAATTATCACTATTGTATTTGTAGACTTCAGAAGTTGCTTCCTTCAAGATTTGATCAACTGTTCATATGCAGAATCTTGAAAATTAAACAATGAAACATTTTAATTAACTTATATTACTACCACTAGAACAATCAAAAAGTGTTCATAATAAAAATTGTCGAAGAATTTTTTGTTATGATAGTGCAACATTTTTGTTCTTCCAAAAATCATGAAGCTTTTGATAAGTTTGCACTAATTTGTGTAATCTTTAAGTAGTCAAATGAATGAAAGCTTCTTCAAAAAGCAAGATCGCGACTACTCAAACTTACAATTTTCTATATTTTGATGTATTTTTATAAATGGCTTAAACATATTCATTAAAATACATAATTTTTAACAAATAAGCTAGGGTAAATGGCACAAAAAACACTTTTTTTACACAGAAATTCGATTTTGACACCGTGTTTTTTTTTATGTCAATTTTGACACTGTATTTTTTTTTTTCTTTTCAATTTATTATAATTCTGACCACTTGACCGGTTAATTAGATTGCCTGCTGATGTGGTATGATGACGTGTCAGTTTTGATGACGTGACATGCTGACATGATATGCTAACGTGTCAAAATTAAATTTTTTTCTCACAAAAAATACCAAGTTTTCATTTTTTTTTTTATTTTAACACTAAGTTTAATTTTTTCTTTCAATTTTGACACTATGGTTTTTTGTTCCAAATCGAACATCATTTTTTCCAATTTTGCTCAATGTTGATAATTTTCTATTTGAAACCGTATAAATATTTTTTTAATACATTTAAACCATATAAATATGTTTTTTTTTTCCATTTAAAAACCATAGTTTTGTATAAATATATTTTTTTTACACTCAAATCATATTTTTATGTATAAATATGTATTAGTTATATAAAAAATATATTTTATATTAAATATGCAACTTTAAAATGTTTTTGGAGGTTTGGAGGCGTGTAGTCGATCAAAACTCGGATATCAAGTTTGCAACCCACCAAATTTTTACATCTTATTAGAAGTTTATGGTTAGTTTGATTCTCATGATATAACTAATGCTTTGAATGTAAGAAAAAAAACGTCTTGTATTTAAATAAAAATGTGGTTTTTAAACGAAAAAAAAAATATGTTTATACGGTTTAAAATGTAATAAAAAAATATTTATATGGTTTCAAATGAAAAATAGACAAAACTGAACAAAATTTGATAAATGATGTTCGATTGGAACAAAAAAAACATAGTGTCAAAATTGAAATAAAAAATTGAACTTAGTGTCAAAATCGAAAAAAAAGTGAAAACTTAGTGTTTTTTGTGGAAAAAAAAATCAATTTTGACACATCAACATATCATGTCAGCATGCCACGTCATCAAAACTGACACATCATCAAGCCACGTCAGCATGTAACCTGGTTAACCGATCAAGTGGTCAGAATTCTAACAAATTGGAAAACACAGTGTCAAAATTGGCAAAAAAAAACACGGTGTCAAAATCGAATTTCTGTTAAAAAAAAATGTTTTTTGTACCATTTACCCAATAAGCTATTAGAAAAACGTTCCAAAATTAACTATAATAACAATGCTTTACACAACCAAAGAATTTTGATTTAAAGAAAATAACTATAATATTATATTAATGTAATTTTAAAATAGATTATTAACCTAGAATAGAGCGTGTTTGGCAAAAGTAGCTGTTAACTGGAAGCGGGTAGCGGTTAGCTGGTAGTATGTAGCTGGTAGCTGGTAGCGGGAAGCTGTAGCTTTTATTTGTTATATGAATGTTTGGCAAAAGGAGCTGGAAGCTTTTGAAATATATAAAATTACATAAAAGGACAATTGATTAAAAATAAAAAAGTATATAAATATATTTTTAAGGGTAATTATGGAAATTGATTTCAAAAGCTCCGGAGCGTTTTGTTAAAAGCTACATGAAGTAGCTTTTAGAATCGGAGTGTTTTGATAAAACTAAAAGCTAAACGCTCGTACTGCCAAACGAAGCTTTTTGTTTAAACTAGAGCGTTTTGTCAAAAGCTAAAAGCTAGAAAGCTCCTAAACGCTTCCAAAAGCTCTATGCCAAACACGCCCTATGTATCTCAAAAAAAAAAATAGAGCAATAATAATTAACCTCATCTTTATTTTTATTTATTTATTTATTTATTTATTTATTTATTATAATCCTTTTTCTGCCACATCTTCTTTACACAATTACACAGATTTTATTACTTAAAATCCTATTAAATTAAAACATCATGAATAATCGATTATTTTTATAGGTTTTTTTTTATCAAAAAATTAATTAATTTATCTTCACATTTCTAATATATTTAATAAAATTTCCTTATTTAATTAGTTATATTTAAACACAAGTAGCATCTATAAAAACAAACAATGATTCTTTTTATAGAAAATTTCACAAACAAACAACATAAAAAAAAAGATAACTATTACATATCTTTTTTTGAAAATAAAAATATATAAAACTATTATGTATATATTTATAAAAATAAAAATGATAAAAATATCGTATGACCATTACAATTTAATATTTAATTGTGTGTACCCATACAATGTAAAGAGATATAACACCCCTAAACAAGGTCTAGTTGAAAACATATTTAAGAAAAAATTTTCAATTTTAAAATCCAAATTTGTTCAAAGTATAGAATTAAAACTAATATGTTGTTGCTATTTATCTTATTATAAACCAAAAAATTTGGTTTGATTTCGGTTTTAATTAAAAATCCATATGAGAATTTGTTTTTTTTATCTTTGCTGTTATAATAAACACTTTGTAATTCTCGATGTTTATTTATTTCTTGGCTATATGGTTTTAGTGATGGACACTTTTTTTTTTTTTTTTTTTTTTTTTTTTTTTTGGAATTCTCACAGGAAGAAAGTAGAGCTGACATTGAATCGACTTGAGTTGGATTCGGGTTCAACCAATTTAATAAAAGGATTGAAAATTTCAACCCAAGCCAACCTATTTATTTAAATAAGATGATATTTTCAATATAACACAACCTAAGCTTTTAGATAAATAGTTATAACCAGGTTGACCTGTTTATATAGTTTTCAACCCAATCTATTAAATAAATGGTTTAAACTTAGGTAAACCCATTTAAAATCAAATAAATTAATTAATTTACTAAATAGTAAACCACTTAATTTTGTTCCATACATTAATAAAACTTCATAAGTATGACAATAACACAATTTCAATTAATAAATACAAAAAATTGTTTAAATAACGATAAAAACTTTATAAGTATGACAATAACACAAGGATAATACTAATCACTCTCCAAAATTACTTTGAAATTAAACATTTTTATAACTTATAGATTAATACTTTTGATTCATACACGATAATATTTAAATAACTATTAAAGTTAAATGGGTTGGCATGATGATAATTTTTATCCAACCCAACCTATTTAATTAAATGTGTTAGACGGCTTGACCCATTTAATTTAAATGGGTTGAAAATATCAACCCAACCTGTTAATTTTGAGTTTAGTTGTCAGGTTAAGTTGATTTTTGTCAGCTCTAGGTGAAAGAAATAGAGATGTCAACCGGGGCATACGAGACGGGTCATTCCCCCATCCCGTTCCCCCAACCCCCACCCCATCCCCAAAATTAAAACGGAACTACCAACTCTCGCCCCGTCCCCAAAATTAAAACAGAGGTTAACCTTGCTACCGTCCCTAATTTTTTTCAACAAATGGGGGCCCACGGGATCGGAGTCCCACGAGACTTTTTGACATTCTTAGAAAGAAAATATGACAATGATGTGTGCGATTTTGTTATGCCTCTCTATTGGATGGAAGAGTAGGTCCTCCTTGCCAAGGTATAGAACAATATTTGCAAATAATTTTTAAAGTTTAGTCGATCAAATACAATATATACAATAAAACAAAGGAAGATTATGCTTTAATATATCATAGCATAGGTAGGAAAAAAAGTAACCTTTAATAATAATAATAATAATAATATAATAAATCTCTCTTTTATTCTTACATGTCCATCGAATTCTGTAATTATCCAAGGGGAACTAGGAATGACCGTAATTGATTCCAACATTCCTCCGCATAAGAATTGGAATTGTATTCCCATTCCGAAAACAAGCTTGAATCACTATCACTAGACATCGGCATCACCATTTCCGTGCGCGCCTGAAACATTGTAATTGTCATCATTTTGTTTCCAAACACAAACACATACATACATGCATACATACATACATACATACATACATACATACATGAGATCATTTGTGAAGAGTATTTTGGACATCTGATTAGCTTTTAAACATTGACTCGAACTATGCGTTCAAAAATGTTAAATTTTTGGATAGAAGGAGTATTTCTTTATTTAGTTGCAAGATTTTATCTTAGTGCTAAATGCTATTCTTTCTTTTATTTGTGTAAATAATTCACAATCATAAATCATAACAATCAAAAAGATTCCATCAGCTATATTCATCAAATATACTCCAATATTGAAGCTGAAATTATATACATTACATTAACCAGGTAAAGAATCAGTTTCAAAATCAAAAATCATAACAATCGATTATCAAACAAATGCAATTAAAAAATCAACTTATATTAAAGTGTGAAACAGATGGAGAATCTTCAAAATCAGAAATCATATGATTTCAACAATCAATATAAAAAATAAGGTTGCAATTCAACTTTATTCGATCACAAAAATATGCATAATCAACTTTAACATCAGACCCAACAAGCAGTCACAAAAATAAGGATGTAAATTCAGAAATCATATGCTTGGAGCTTCAATCGATCAGACAGAGAGTAAAAAAAAAAAAGAAATTGTTAACTGTTGCAGAAGAAAATCACTTGAACAAATGGAGAAGAGAAACAATCGAGTAGGAATCGCACCACCTGGAGGCGATGGAAAATGAGTGCAGGTGATGAGAAGAGAAACAATCGAGTAGGAATCATGCGCGCCTAGTCCCTAAATCCATTTTTAACCCTTATA